GTAAGTTTGAAGATCTTTTTTATGCCCAAACATACACACTACACACTGACTAAAATTCAAAAAGTGAAAAAGCATAATAGGACCCCTTTAAATAAACAGCCTCATATCATCTCTGTAAGGTGGTGCATTTGTCATGAGTGATCAGAATGAGGCCATTTATTTAGACCACCATATAAAATTCATGTAATACATGACATTAGAGAACATATGAATATTGTTCAAAACGCTCCCCTAAGCATATGTAAATACACATGAATGGGGTAAGCGATGCAAGGGACCGTGCAAGCAGAATAAAGAACTTGATTCATCATGGCAAAAATGAGTTGGAAAACCAGAAACAGTGGCTTCTGGTATTCCAAACGCTACAACTCCAGAAAATCTTAATGCAAAATAAAAAGAATAAAAACAATCTGCATTATTATCAGCCACTAATGATTTACAAATGTTAAACCTTTAGAAGTAACTGAACAATACATCAACACTTCAACACTTTTTAATTACTTCACTAACTTCAGAAACACCACAGCTGTCAGCACTACAGGTAAATGGGATATTCATCATCCTCTCATTTTTCTCTGACATGAGCTCATCTCATCTAATGACCTAAGAAATTCCACATTAACCTACTTCATGGTTGTGCCTTAAAATCAAGTAGAAAGTCTGGCATCAAATGTCTGTGATGCCTAAAACGCTGTGTAGGCAGACAGCTTACTATAGTGAGAGAGACAGACTATGAGTGGGAGCTATAATTTAGACGTAGACATTTTAAATACTATTAAGTTGTTTACGGTTTTATTTGCGGTCATCTAAAAGTCCAATTAGCAATTCATCTGCCCACCACCATTGTAATGTGACACCCATTCTTTTGAGCCATGGATATGTCACTCTTCTAAGTAAAAGTAGCAAGCAAAATACAACAACATGCGCACAATACACCAATTATATATAATACAAGACCATGAACTTTCCATTTTATAAAAGTAACTGAGCTACAATATCAACGTTGTCATATATATATATATATATCACTCAGTCTCTAATAGTAGGCTATTATTATTTATTGTTCTATTGAACATTGATAGTTTGAACATTTATTAAACGTATCAACACCTTTTGGCAAATTCTATTTCCACTAATCAGAGCCCTTTATTGTTCGCAAAGTTAAAACGGGAAAACCTCAAGATTTGTTTACTTGAGTTTTAGTTCGAATATGTAATTTCACAAAGAAACGTATAAGTTCGAAAAGTCACTTACATTATTTCATTGAAGCTCGTCTCGTTGAAGAAGCATTATATATCTTCTCCTGTTTGAACAACTTCAGAGAACTTTGAGAGGCAGCACACCATCAACTCTCACGCGCCACACCGATGCTTAGTAAACACATATCATCTTTGGGGATATTCTTAAATTAACTGCACTATCTATTTTTGATAGCTGAACCTGTTCTCCGAGTAGACAGATGCGGGGTAAAGCGTTAACAAGAGTTTACTAGACAAAACTGTGCTTGTCCGACCGCTGGAGGCAGTTCTCAACAGAGCCCCACCCTTCAGTATGAGAAATCTCGGGGAGACCCCAAAAATAAGAAGCGAGTAAATACATGAATACTTTGCATTAGTGTTTGGTGCGCACTGTTGCTGGTCAGCTATCCTTGTGGGGACTCTCCATAGGTGTAATGGTTTTTCTACTGTACAGACCGTATATTCTGTTGCCCTACACCAACCCTACACCTAAACCTACCCCTTACAGGACACTTTCTGCATTTTTAGATTTTCAAAAAACTTAATTCTGTGTGATTTATTAGCTTGTTTACCCGTGGGGACCTCAATTTAGGTCCCCACCGTGACACAAGTCCCCATGAGTCTGTGTATATTCAGGTTTAAGTACCCACCAGAATAGAAAAACAGGTACACACACACAATTTTAAATTAACTACATTATATTAACTAAACTATATATAAACAATTTAAATTAACTGTATTAGGATATATTAAGTAATAAACACACACAAAAAACTAAAATAAATGAGGAATTTACATTATATACAATTGCGTCAGTATATTCAACATGTAAAATATGTATATATAATTAAGTTTGCAAATAAATATACGCAAAAACAAACATTAAAATGAAAAAAAAAAAACATTCAGTTTGCTTTTTCTTTTCTTTTTAATGCGTGTTCTTAAAACATACAAGAACAAAATATATATAATTCAGGCTTTTTCCTAATTAGATTTTCATGAACAACTTATTCGTTCTTACTAATTTGTTACAGACCTTATAAACGGACTGTAAAGATGAGCTTGTCTTCAGTCGCCCATGCTAGCTACTTTGTTTTAAACGTCAGAGAAGATCTTCCAGTTAGATAGTTCCTACAAGTCGGATAACTGTATTTGCATGTACCTCATATACTTACATTTCAACATTCAGGTCAAATAGAATGCTCTAAAGAAATTTTAGGTCATGTAGTTGTAACCAATTCCTGTTTACTACAGGCCTGTGAGATGATGTATGATGAATGATAATACTAAACATTTTGTCATCCTTTATTTGGAGAGGCTGCCTCTTTCTTTGATTCTGATAGAGTCCTTGTAGGTGACTATTAGGTCTTGATCTATTGTGGGTGTGAGAACCCATACAATAACACAGACATTTATTATAGGCTAGCTACAGTTATATGTTTTGTTTAGTATTGAGATTTACAGCCACATTGACGTTTTATCACCATAACACAGAAACTTGGCTGAAGATTTTGAATGTAAAACAACTACAGAGCCAGAAATTAAGATTTGTACGATCCTTCCAAATTCTTTGCTATTCAAAAATTACTCATTTATTCTTCTCAATAGCCATTGCAAAACATGGCAAATTTTAATGATAATGCAGCATACATAGTGGTAAAAAAAGCATGCAGCATACATGGTGGTCTCCATTCCCACAGCACTGATAGCGATCAAGTCATAAACTTTATCTGTGCACGTCAGTGACAATACCCTTAAACACACTTTAAACACTAAAAAGAGATTACAACGTCACGAAATCTAATGAATGTGGTCACTCAGAATTGAAGCTTAATTTTTAAAGGTTAAAAGACAAAATGTTATGGTTTAATCCTCCGCTCATAGTGTAAATATGCTGTCCTAGATGGATTTTATCAGAAGAAATACAATACTTTGTAAATTCACTTGAGCCAATTAAACCAGAGTACAAAGGATCAAGACAGGTGCGATGGAAAATCCCAGGGGATGTTCATTTGCATTCACAGTGAGGCAGGAAAGGATTCAGGCAAATGCAGATGCATGCAGTGATAGCTCAGTCTACTTCCAGATAAGTGCAATGCCCTTTCTATTACACTTCATGCTAAACTGTGTAAAGAGAGGAAAACAGTGACACCGCTAATGCAACCGCAAGAAACACAAGACAAGCAGAAAACAACAGGAACTGTCTATTGTTTCCTGAATATGCACATACTTAACTGACCAAGTTCAGTCATGCATAGGGCTGAATGGGTTGTGACTAGTAAAAAAAAAAAAAAAAGACCCATCATAACATAACTACACTCAGTGCATCACCTTTAGTGCCTTTGAAATACAATACCATCCCCATCTTTCAATCTGCAGGAATACTTACTGCGACACATTTTACTGTTGCTGCCACCTGGAATGATTAAAAAATGAACATTATGAATGAAAAAAAAAAAAAAGCATTTATGTCAGTGAAGCCTGTTTTGACCATTGAATAAAAAAATGAAAAAGATAATTGTGACTATTTAACTTGCAACTGACTTTTTCCCTCACAATCCTGAGTTTATATCTCACTGTGAGCTGTTAGCTCATACATATGAGACATTGCCAATAATAAAAAAAAAAGCTGCAAGTTACTTTTATTATTTTTATTTTGTAAGAGTAGTAGTAGTAGTAGTAATAATTACGAAATGTAAACTCAAAACTCGAGAGATAAACTCAGAATTGAGGGAAGTAAATTCAGAATTGCGAGAAAAAAGTTTATTAGAATTCTACGTTTATATCTCACGATTCTGACTTTTAAAAAAAAAAATGTTAAAGAATTTTTATATCTGAACTGTAAAGATAAGTTGCAATTACCTTATTATTTTTTTTTATTCTGTAGTGGAAACGGCTTCAATTTAGAAAATGTTTTTTAATTTAATTTAGCCAAATTATCTGCACACATTTTCAGTTCATTTGGTTTTAAATTGCCGGTGTTTTGTTTAAAGCTGCCTGTGCAGAGATCCAGAGTTAACACTATTACAATCCTCATTCATGCTCTAACTGCATGTGTGCAATGCTTATCGTTTACATGATGCAATGCATACACCTTGAAAAGCAGCATTTAATGACTACATTTAATAATCAAGCACCAAAAATCAAAATGTGAGATGCTCATTTTTCATGAGATTAAAAAGGAAACATGCACTGCAAATGACCAATAAAAGAGTTGACCAAAAAAAGATTTATTGTTGATTATAGCAACGCATAACTAACGGCAGAAAACAGTTACTATGGAAACTAACTGCAGAATCCTTCTACCTGAAGCATATACTATGTAGAAGTGAACGGAAAGTAGTAAAAGTAGTTAAGGGCAAAGTGTCTCTAAAGCTCACATTTCAGAGAGCCTGAGGTAAGATGAGAGTTCCTGTTTAAGACATATCTTCAGACATGCTGCCATGTCCATGCAGATCTAACCAAATTATTGTGAAGCCAGAAAAAGAAAAAAAGACAAAACCACCTCAAACCTAAATATGTATGAGCTCCTCAGAATTTTGAAAGGGTCTTTTACATGCACCTGCTTATTTTAGTGTTGTATCTGTATCTCATCGGTCTAGTAATGAGCAACTATTGACATCCAATATGGCAGAAACAGATGTTGTATTGAGTGATGGGGGGGGGCGTCCTGGG